CATGTGGAGTGAGTGAGTATGTGATTATGGATATGTAAATACCTGTTATGTGGTTAATGATTTAATTGCATGAATATGTGTTGTACATTCATCGCATGACCATTGGCGGAAGTTTGCCTAAGGAGAGAAGTAGATGGTTAAATCCACGTGGTATTAGCAGTGATCGTTGGAATCGAGAATTTGCTTTGGCACTGACCATTGAAATCGGGAGGTAGCCCGTGTCCCATGGTTAATTCGGGACTGTTCCACTCGTTATACAAGGGACTAAAACTTAACTAGCCTCTACCGGTTCATCAGGAGGCTAGATGAGAGGTACGACACTCCATAGTTGTTAGTATTGGGGAAACCGAATTACATAAGTAAGTTAATCTTTGACTCGGTAGCTCCTCACAAGTAGAAGGCTTGGATAGTATGTGAAGGACATAGCCACATGATAGCCATCAGTTTCATGTCGAAGGTAATAGGAGGGTATAAGGCTGGCATTTGATCATGCATATAAATCCGGCCATATGGTTGTTAGTATTGTAGTTCAGCACATGTTAAGGGCGCATAGCTGGTAGTATTGCGACCCCGTATTGTGCACTGTGATTTAAAATGAATATGTGTTTTTGGACCCGATCACATGGTTGTTAGTATTATGAACCGTGGCCAAGTTCATCATATGTGTTTTGATGGTGTGTTTTTGCCTATTTGCATATGTTCCAATTGATATGCAACTGTATAGATTAGGTGAAACTTGATTATTGAGTAGTTGTACTCACCCCTCAATTCTCAATATTTTTAGGGCCTAGCTCATTGGATCTGAGTTGGAAAAAACGTTCTGAGGCATAGGATTGTAGTGAAAATCCTATTTTTATGCCTCTCCTTGTTGTTTTATGTATATGAATGTTAATACAATTGCCAACTAGGTTTCAATGATTCATTTTGTACTACTTGCATGATTATAGTATACAATTTATGTATTTTGTGCCTTGAGTTAGTGAGTTTTGGTTGTAAACTTATAGGTAGGGCCAAAATACTTGTGCAAGTAGAAATATAAATATTTTGAATGATTTGAAATGAAAATGATGGTTTTGTGCATGAATTTCTTCCCCCTTATATTTTGTGGAATTTGGAGTTGAGTGATAATTTTGTGATTCATGTGTTTTGGTTGAGTATGGTATGTTGCACAGGTCCGTCAGAGTCCATTGAGTGTGGTCGGATGGTCGGTATACACTTTTGATACTTGAGGTTGAGTTAGGACACCATGGTTGTGAAATTTTAATGAAAAAGTGGTAAAATGGGTTTTGATATCCAACTTTTCATAGAAAATGAATTTAAGTGTGAAATTTGTGTCATTAGCTAAAATTAGGAGAAAGCTCTGTGTAGACACTGAAACCATTTCAATCGGATGTCTGACGGAGATTTGGGACGTGTCAGAAGTTCGCTCCCACTGCTGTCAAATGATAGTAGTTGTTGCTTCAAATTTGCGCAATGCGACGCGGCGCAGGGTCATTTTCTGCACAAAACATAGTTTCGAGTTTTGAAACTCATTGTTTTGGGTCCCATGATTTTTAAACTTCCGCATTATTTTAAAACTTTGATTTGAGCATTTCAAATGTTTGTTTGAGATTGAAAATATTAAATTTGGGGATCCTATTGTCTATGACTGGAGAATTCTTCCCACTTTTGTAATTTACAAACTTGGTAATCTTTTGAGGGTTCAATCCCTTGATTACCTCAAAATTAGAGTTAAATGTGGTTAAGTAAAGGAGATTTTACAAACCAAGTTTGGGAATTGGTTGACCTACCGCTGCTAAGCCGAAAGGCAATTGAAAACAATGGGTTCTCTAATACAAAAGAAAAGCAGATGGATCAATCAACAAAGCAAAAGCCCTCTTGGTAGCTAAGGGGTATATACAACAAGAAGGTGTAGATTATGAGTACACTTTCTCACTAATTGTGCATTTTAGTTCAATTAGGTTAATCTTAGTTATGGTAGCAAGCTTATATTTGGAATTACATCAGATAGATGTAAAGACCACTTTCCTAAATGAGAAACTAGATGAGAAAATCTTTATGGAGTAACTAGAAGGCTCTATACAAAAGGGTAAAGAGCATAAAGTGTATAGATTCCTTTGACCTATATATGGATTGAACCAATCATTTAGGCAATAGAACTTGATGTTTCATAAAGTAGTAACCTCATTTAACTTTGAAATAATCAAAGAAGACCATTGCATATACATGATGGGTGAATTTGTCATATTATCCTGTATGTCGATGACATACTGTTAGCCAAAACCAGCCTCAAGGCAGTTAAAACAATCAAGGATTTATTATCCTTAAATTTTGAAATGAAAGATATGGGTAAAGCAGAATATATCTTGGGAGTCAAGATAAACAAAGATTGTTCAAGGAAACCCTTGTCTTTGTCACAAAAAACCTCTGTAAGCAAAATCCTTGAACATTTTAACATGAGAGACTGCAAATCCATAGACACCGCTGTAGTCAATGATCATAACTTAAGTGAGGAAATGTGGCCCACTAAGAAATTTGACATTGAACGCAGGAAACAAGTCCCATACTTAAATGCAATTGGTAGTCTAATGTACGCAATGTTATGTACTCGACTAGATATTTGTTATGTGGTTAGACTTATAAGTCGGTTCCAGTCCAACTCTAGAATCAAACACTAGGAAGCTATGAAGAGAATAATAAGATACCTAAAAGGCACGATGGACTACGAGTTGTGTTACCAAGGCAACAGTTTGGATTTGGAAGGCTACATTAATCCTGACTGGGCAGGAGATGTAGATGAGCGACATTTAACTTCAAGATATGCATTCCTGTTAAATAGAAGAGCCATCACCTGGAGCAGCAAGAAACAGACATATGTGCCTCTGTCCTCCAAGGAATCAGAGTATATGGCGTGCTTTGTCATGGTACAAGAAGCTGTGTGGCTTAAAAGGCTCTTAGAATGAATGGGAATAAACCATGGAGAAAAGGGTCTAATATTGATACATTGCGATAGTCAAGCATCCATAATTTATACTAAAAATCCTAAATATCACAATAGAACTAAGCACATAGATAGTAAGTATCATTTTGTTAGAGATATGATTACTAAGAAGCAAATCAATGTTCAATAATTATCTACTCACAAGGTGTTAGTTGATCCCCTTACCAAACCTATAGCCAAAGATCCATTTGTGAAACATGTAAAGGCTTTGGATATGCATAGGCTATAATGTATTTGAACTTATCTCATGAATAAAATTATGCATTCTTCTTGGTAAACATGAGTATAATGATATACAATATTCAAGTATATTATGCAGGTTTGCATGGTAAGTTCTCTCATATGAACAGTTGCCTTCGATGTTCAAGAGGAGCCAATGAGATCAGATAGAATCTGATCACCACCAATTTAGAAAGAATAATGGAATAGTTAAGAAGAATCATATAATGAATGTTGCTTGAATAGTGGTATCAAATTGAGATTTGGAAGCTAAAATCTAGGTTAAATCATATAGGCTTGCTATCCATGATACCTGTAGCCAAGCAAAGAATTCATTAAAGAAGGACATTATGAGTGATTTAGGGAATTCTAGTTTAAATACTGTGTGTGTCTGAGACTCGAGCTTAAACAGTGTTGATAAATCAAAATTGATATATGCTTCTAACAAAGAAACATTGTAGCATGCAATTCATATTGCATGTGCTTAAGTTTTGACCACAGTTATGGAAGTGGATGGAAGGATCCCTATTCCATCACCGTGTGAGTCCTAGAAAGGAGAAAAATCATTTCATAGTACCTTTAAGACTTAGACAATGTCATGAGATGATGAATTTGTGATGGCTACTTTAACTTGTACCCCATAGTCATGAATGATTCGATTTAATGAGCCGAGTATTGAGAAAGTGATCAAGTCAAACTTGATTGACATAAGGGCTGAAGGAAGATTAACCCTGAAATACATAATTGTGCTAGTGTTTGAAACATGCCCCTTGCAAGTAGAGAACTTGTAAGTATAGGTACTAAGCATATGAGAAGGTACTTTGAGTTAGATGAAGAACTCGAGAGGGATTAGAGATACCAAGAGTAATGTGTATGGGTAAATTTAGGGTGCTTGAGGCAACTTATAATTGCAGTGCAGGTGTGCAATAGGGTGTCTTTGTATGTCGATGCTGCCATAGGATTTTTAGTGCACAAACATCCAAATTGAGGATATCATGCCCACGCAGTCACGATAGAGCACCAAATATGAAAGAAAAGAGATGGAGTTCGCATGATGATAGTCTTATCAAGTGCAAGTAAGAGATATTAGAATTTTAAATTTGCATCATTTTTGCCCATGACAAGTCATTAGTGGGATTTGCAATCTTGTCATAATGAGTTGACCGGAGTCCAACATTAATCTTTGATTGATAGCCTGAAAGGGAAACAATCCTCCATCATAATAGTGATTATTCAAATTAGCATATTTCCTCTATAATAAGGCGAATTAATGCTGATTGAATCTTCTTTTTATGCAGAGACCTCCTTTCACTATTAATAGTGACCAAAGACTGGAGGTAGAAGCATCCTAGAGTGAACAATTCTCTAGTTCACTCTTCCTCTCCCTCTGTTTCTCTTAGGTGCATTTGCTGTGTACTATAGTTTAGACTCTAATAGCCTAAACTTGTGTGGGTGGTCGGGTAGATTTTACTATGCCCAGATCTGGTAAGACTCTACCCTGAGTCATTTATTTGATTTATTATGTATTTAATAATCTTTCATTATGAATATACACAAGCCTTTGAAACTTAAGGTAAGAAAAAAAACTTTTCAAACCAAAATATAAACAAGCAGACCTCACTTGTCCAAGTTACCAAGCTGTCATGATTATCTTTTGTGTATTATTGATTCCTCGTTTCGCCCATGACAAACAAAAATTTTGCACGTGGTTTTGATCTGGCACTGCAGTTTGTAACTGTAAGCTCAGAAACTGTTATATGTATTTTAACAACAATTGTAGGTTTGGCAAGTTCGTGCATCTTTTGATCAGAAACCAAATCGGAGATTGATGATGCAAACTTGGGGTGCAAAAGTACACCCATCTCCATCTACAATCACCGAGGCAGGTCAAAGAATCCTTGAAAAGGATCCATCAAGCCCTGGAAGTTTAGGAATAGCTATATCTGAAGCTGTAGAGGTTGCAGCTAAAAATGCTGATACCAAGTACTGCTTGGGAAGTGTGCTCAATCACGTTTTACTACATCAGACTGTTATTGGGGAAGAATGCCTTCAACAAATGGAAGCTATTGGAGAAACCCCGGATGTTATCATAGGATGTACTGGTGGCGGCTCCAACTTTGCTGGGCTTAGTTTTCCATTCGTTAGAGAGAAGCTTAATAAGAAAATTAACCCTATTATAAGAGCAGTTGAGCCTGCAGCTTGTCCTTCTTTAACACAAGGAGTATATGCATATGATTATGGAGATATAGCAGGGATGACTCCATTGATGAAAATGCACACACTTGGACACAACTTCATTCCGGATCCAATTCACGCTGGTAAAAATATTTTAGGAAAAAAATATAATTTTCAATCCTTGAATTTTTTCTCAATTATCCATTCAATCTTTAAATTTTGACTCATAACAACTCAATACCTGTCATTTCTTGACTTAAAAACAACTCAACCCTTATAGCTGTTTTTGATTTGATACAACTCAATTCTTAAAATTCCTTAACTCAATAATAGGGATTGAGTTGTATTAAGTTAAAGTTTAAGACTAAAAGTAATGTTATCCCAAAATTTTATGATGAGAGATTTTTGCTCAGATTTGTCCGTTCATACTTATTTTTTGCCCTAATCCGTAGTTTTTTGCTTATGTGTAGGGGGTTTGCGCTACCATGGAATGGCTCCATTGCTGTCACATATCTATGAGTTGGGATTTATGGAAGCAATTGCAATTCCACAGACTGAGTGCTTTCACGGTAATTGTACTTGCCTCTATTGAAAAGACTAACTACTATCCAGCCTTGGTGTTTTCAAAAAAAAAAAAAAAAAAACCTATTTTGATCCTGGATTGAGAAAGGCAATTCAATTTTGTTCTTCACTGATAATTTATTTTCATCTTGTCCTTCGACGATTATTATACCAAAATTAACGCCAAAGTTAATGGATTAATAGCTTGGACAATTAATGACTTACCTAGTATGGTAGTTTCATGAATCCACACCTCAACTTGCTTGCACCAAGTTAGCAATTTGTTAGGTTTGATGTTAAATTTTGCTCGGAGATAAGATGGAAGGGTAACAGTGACGACATTTTATTGATTGGGGGACGAAAATACTGTTTTTTGTTACTCTAGAATGAAAATATAGCAAACAACTATGGAAGGAATTAGAAAGGATAACTTGTTACCTTGTTGCAGGTGCCATACAGTTTGCCAGGTCTGAAGGGTTGATACCAGCACCTGAACCTACTCATGCTATAGCGGCAACTATTAGGGAAGCTCTTCGTTGTAGGGAGACTGGAGAGGCCAAGGTCATTCTGACAGCTATGTGTGGACATGGCGATTTTGACCTGGCAGCTTATGAGAAGTATTTGCAAGGTGATATGGTTGACCTCTCGTTGTCGCATGAGAAGGTTCAGGCTTCACTGGCCAATATTCCTCAACTGATAGTCTGAATTCTTGTATGAATGAAAAACGGTAAGAAGACACCTAGGGGACAAGGAAAAGGCATATTTGTCTTCCACCTTTAAGGCATTTTTTCAATCCTGACAGATATTTGCCTGTTACTTTGAGATCCTTCATCTGAAAACCATGTATCACGGAATTGGAGCCCTCGTGTTAGCTATATCTACGCCATACTGGAAGAGTATTAGTCATGTCACTTGGAACTTCTGGTGAATAAAACCAAGTTTCTTGATACATTCCTTCTGATGTGCACTGTTTAGAAACCTCGTGTTCTTGGAGCTGTTGGTATATTGCTTTCATACATTTCAAGGAATCTTAGATGCTGGGTATAAAACATTAGGGAAGAAGATACCTTGGGCCTTTTTTCCCTTGGACAATAGGATATCAAAATATTCAGCTAGTTTTGTTGTGACAGAATTTGGTGTAAAAGCAATGGAATTAGTATGTCATGAAAGTTGATAGCGGTAGAAATTTAGGCGCATATCTTAAGAGGTTCGAAGTGCTTGTATGACTGCGAATCTTGGGCGCTAAATTCTATTGTCTCAAATTATAACAACATTTCTTCCATATTCTTACATTCTCGTATACTTTTAACCCTGGTCAATCACTCTTGTGAAACGTAAAAATTAATACAAGGGAATGATCCCCCACATTATTACAACATAAAAGCCATTCTAAACATCGACTTGGAACTATGGGTTAACCATTTATGAAGAATGATCTCACTCAAAGCTGACTTCTGAACTACCACAAATCCTAGACATTTTGTGCCACTTGTCTGTCAGTAGACTTGGCAATCTCAATTTCAAGAGGAGGCTTTGAGTTTGGATCTTTTTTGTGCCGATATAGAACATAATGCTGGATCATGAATACAATGTCAAAGAATACAGAAACCTGCAATTGCCAAATTACATCACTATTAACAATTCATTGTCATTCCGTACAAGTTAGGAGTGAGAGAATGATCCATACCAGAGACAGCATTAATTTTCCTATATTTCCATAGAAGTTCATCAAAGAACCTGAGATTTGAAATTTTGTCAGTGTGATGATATACACAGAAAGTTCATGCGCTTATAGCTAAAGGAGATATGTCAAGACAAACCTTGATCTACTGATTGCAAAACCATTTGTGTGTAGTTTCCAACGCTTCCAGAAAAATCTAGCAGAATGTTAGTAATGCTCCAGCCTTCTGTACTTTTTCTTTTATAGTTCATCACAGCCTACATTCATAACTCATTAATTACAAATGGAAATGGCCATGGCCAGTTCATTTTATACCAAGAGCAGTCCACTAGCTAAACTAATGATTCAAACATATCAAACCCAAGGGGGGGAAAAAAACAAGTTCTATAGTAAATCATGCATTTGCATCAGTTAAGAATTATGAAATTCTAATTTTGCCTATGTTCTATAGCTGACCCTAAGCCTAGATATAAGAGAGATGTCTTGTTTGATCCTCTGCAGCCAACATAAAACCTTATCACATCCTTTATGGCATATATCAAAGATCCTCTACAGCCAACATAAAACCTAAAAGTAAGGTATGGTGTAGCTTGAATATAGTGTCAAAAGAGCAAAGTAGTACATTAGCACTTGCTAATTTGTTAATGTTTACGTGTTAGAAATCCTAGTCGGTGGTCTTTAATGGTGTTGGCAAGGAAGCAAGATATTAAGTGGAAAGATATCCATAACTGTGCAAACTACCAAGAGAAGAATACAAAAATGATTTTCAACATCAGGGTCTATTAACACGTTCCTTGCAATACAAATTTCATGAAGAGAAGAATTACAAAATGGATTAAATCCTTACCTGGGGGATATATTTTATAACCGTCATGCAAACTTGAATGCCACTGTAAAATGGTTAATTTCAACACAATTAATTAGAAGGAATCAATCCCAAATAAACATTCATGCATCATGTCATTCAATCATGTAGTGTAATATCTATGACGAATGAAGGCAACAGTTTGGTGTTAAAAAAATGAGATGTTAAGAAAGAACAACATACTTGAATACAGTGAGCAGCCAGAGCCAATGGTGTGTAGAGAGAGTTACAAAGAAGCAGATTGCAGCAACTAACCAAACAGTAGACACAATTCCAAGAGCTATTCTGGACACTTTTTGATTTCCGCGCTACAATAACAAACTATAATAAGCCATTTGAACAATGTCCCAGAAAATTAAAGAAATTAAAAGTACAAAAAGCTCAGTGGAGAAAAGAGTACGATGGATACATCATATATAGCAATTTGGAACAAGGAAATTGCAGTAAGCAGAACAGCATGGGATGAGAAAGCAACATCATTTGCTGCTACAGGTATCATCTGAAAAACAAATGAAAATTAACGTGTTCGTTTTAAATATCAAACTTATAATCTTTGATTGTGTATTTATAAGCTCATTATACAAGGAATTAACCTCCTTTTGACCGAATTTGTTTCTGTATTGCTTCTGAACAGCAGGGCTGAAGAACAGAGATGCATTGTAGAATAGATAGGATGAGTGCTTAGTGAGATTGAATAGCACAAAATCAAAGTTCAATCCCACAACGCTGAAATCCAATAAGGTGAGGCAAATTAGTTAGGAAGTTTAAAAGTAGTAAAAGCATGAACGGAGATTGTGCTTTTGAGATGATGATGATGATGATGATGATAAATGAAGTTGATCTATTGTGCTTGAACCTTTTCCTGCGATAATTCAAGATAACTTGTGGGTAAAAGCTGATAGACCAGCAAATAAAAGTGAGCCAACCCAGGACTTCATATGAGACATGTAGTGGGACTGAATTCCAAGAAGCCATTTTTTTTTTCCTTTGGTCTTGATAAAGCCTACAAAGTACCAATATATATTGTCACTGAACAAAAAGAATGAATTAAATTTGGTTGAACATATAAGCTACTATCTCCATATGTTTTACCCTTGGTATAAACAGAGTGTAGTGCATAATCTTGTGCAATATTATGTACACCATCCTTACACTAACCTTACACCAAATAGCAAACACAATCTCAGAACTTAAAGTCACAAATCAGTCAAACTGTCAAAGAGGGGGAAGAGCTTTATTTAAAAGTATAGTATGAAAATTCAGGTTAACTCTCCTGATTAAATCAATAAACTATTAAATCAGTGTTTTAAATAGTTTTTTAAAATGCATTGCTAATGACCAATTTAATTACAATTTGACTATAGTTTGGATCATTAACTATTAATCAGTACCCTAACAGGTTCAATGTCCGGTTCAGTTTTGAGTATAAAAAGCTATCACAACTTTAGGAAAAACTGTTGATAAGGAACATAAGAATAAAATACCTTGTTCAAAAAATAAAAATGAAATAATACCTGGAAGGAAAAACCAAACCTCGAAGATTCTTGAAGATTTTAAAATCTGTGATCTAACCGTAAGATACCTTCAAGAATGCATTGATGATTCTTGAAACTTGATTGCAGATCTGCAATGTACTTTCAAAAATCTTCAATGCTTGGTTCTTCCTCCCAAATATTTCACCCATTTAATCCTTATGCACAATTTTTCCACTGTTTTATCTCACTCAGTCATTAATCTTATATCTCTTACCTGACTTCCTTTGTGGGTGCTTCGTCAGAAGGTGAAGCCTTGGCTCTGCTTACATTGTAATGTGTGAAGTTGTAGTTTTGATTTGTAGCTCCACACACAACGTTATTAATTCTGGGTTTTATATAACTTTGTGTTTCAAAACCTAATGTACAGAGTATTTATTACTCTATCTCTTAAAAAATGTAAAGCATTTTTAACCGAATATCACTCCAATAAAGTAGTTATCTACTTTCAAACTAACCTTATCTTTTATATTTACCCTATTAAATACTCTACAATAAATACAAAGTCATTCATTAATATGGGCACCTTTAAAAAAAAAAAGGCAATGATCACACCTCAAAAGACTAAATACCTTACATTTTTTTAACATTCAACTCTTCAAAAAATGTTTTATATTTTTGAACGAAGAGAGTAGCTGCTATGTAAACTATCCTGTAATTATTTGATACATTATGAAAAATTAACTTGGTGCGTTGTATCTGCCCTGTAAGTATTCTTGATACATGCATGTGATGCTGAGTTTAATCTTCTTTTATATATATATATATATATATATATATTAGCTGAGTTTTCTTTCTTTCTTTTTTTTTAGTGGGCCAACACAGAATAGTATTTTAATAAAGCAGAGGGCAAACGTCCGGAAAAAAACAGCAGAGAAAGAAAACAAGGTAAGCCAAAACAGAGCAGAGACAAAACAAAAGCTATAAAGATGAAACAAAGAAATCAATTAGCCATCACCACGCCGAGTAACAGAAGCTATAATAGCTGAGTTTAATCTTTAACAATGTTACTGATTTGAAGTTTGAGCCTTTTCTTTTGCCTCCAAAGAAACAAAGAAAGGGAAAAAAACAAAAAGATTCTCCTCAGTAACATATTAAATATATAATTTTACTTTATAATTTTATACTCAATCCATTAAAAAATATAAAATATTTTTAATCAAGTCTCACCGTCAATAAATTAATTAATTATCTTCAAATTGACATTATCTTTTTACATTTATTTTTATTTAATAGAGTGTTTTAGTTTTCACTTAAAAATAAATATAAAATAATTTAATAATTTATTTTTTAAGGGCATTTTTGAAAATCAAACACATTAATTACACGTTAAAACATTAAAAATATCTTATATTTTTTAACAATCAATCCTAAAAAAAATGCCTTAACCAAGGGAGTATATTTTTTAAAATTTAACAATAGAAAAAATTTATAATATTCATTATCTAGTATTTTTTAATTATAAAAATATGTTTGAAATTTTTAGAATAAATATAAAAAAATTAAATTAAATACGCACACAAACACATGTACAGTAGTTTAGAACAACGCCGCCCAAAAAAACCAAATCACGTTGAATCAGCCGGAACTATTATCATAAAGATGCCACTTTATACGTGTAGCGGTGTAAGCAAAGTCCTTATTTATTAATTGCTTTTTTGACCAGCCCTTATTTATTCAATCGCTTTATATCGTCATTCATCAATAATGCGCATGTGCTTCATAAATCTACACCTTTCTACTATATATTATAGCATGTGAAAAAGGTCCATATATATTATTATTGTTGGGATATACGTATTATGGTGTTGACTATACCTCTCAGAAATTTCCGTTCACACACATTTACGTGGCCATTCTCGGTTCACACTCATACACTTAGGTCGGCCCATCATTTCTTAGAATAAATGAATTGATTTTTTGTTGCTTTCGGAATCTCACCAAACAAATCATTAAGAATTGCGTTTCAAGAAAATACTTTTTTTATCATTTTATAAAATATTTTTAAATAAAATCACGTTTGTTCAATAAAATTTAGTAAATATATCTTTTGTTTTTATTTTTTAAAATAAATATATAAATTTTTAAAAAACTGTTTATTTAATATTACATTTGTAAAAGAATATTAATGAAAGAATTTTTTATTTTATTAACATAATTGTTACTCTCTCTAATCATATTTATGAGTCACTTATAGCAAATTTTACTGAAATAAAAAAAAAAAACCTTCAACCTCATTAAATCTACCTTAAAATTTAATACATTTTTGCCTCTACCTTTTAGTAAGACAAAAAGAACTATTTTTAATAATTTTTTCTAGTATCTAATAAGAGTATAAATGTAAAAATGAATGTAAAAAATAGTGAATTGTCCTCTAAATAAGACTAAAATTAATCTATTAATCTTCTTTCTTTATCTTCTAAATAGGACTAAAAAAGTATTAATGAAAACATGATGTTTGTGTCTTTTCTATAATTTTTGCAAAAATAAAAAATAAAAAAATATTTTGGATTTTTATTTTTTCAAAACATTTTTTTAACTTTTTATTTTTAAAAAATAACAAAGATAGTTTTTGTTTTATAAATGGACTTTCAGCAGGGGGGGGGGAAGACGAAGAGTTTTTCTACCTGTCAAACTTTTAGAAAACTTGCTTTCTAAAAAGATTTTTCAGAACATTGAATATGGCATCCGAACATCCACTAGCTTCCTTTATGTTTTGATGTTTGTTTGAGCTTAAAAGGTGAACGCACAATTGTATGTTTTTGTGAACAACCTTGGCACATGACCGATTTGGCAATTGACTTTTTTATATGACTGGAAATTAAGTATCTTATCAGCCCACATCTTTTCTAATGTTCTTAAATAAATTAATTATAAACAATTTCCCGTCATAGAAAGTAATATTTTTTTCATCAGCTCCATCTACATCTATATGCCAAAAATTAATCTAAAATTAATAAAGAAAAAAAGGAAAGAAAAGAAAAGAAAAGAAAAGAAAGCAGAGTTCTTACCTCCGAGTCTTGTTACGGTAATCAACAAACAAACTTGAATCTGCTGAAACACTAATTGGATCTCTCTGTCCCTCAGTTCAGCTTCAAATTTGACGTCACCAGAATCAGATGTTTCTCTATGTCTCAGTTTAAACTTGCATTTGAAATCTGCATGCAACAAGCCAAAATGCAATGCTCAGAAACTAATATGTAAGCTAACAATGAAGTTGCGTATGTGTGAAGCTCATCGATCATCACGTAAGGGAATAAAAATTAAAAGCTTGGTTTGAATATCTGTGAGGACATGCATGCAGGAGAAAGTAGAGCCAAACAATGGTGATGAACCTTTCTTCTTACTGCTAGATCAGATCTTGCCTGCTTCTGATCTTCTCGTGTGCGTTTCCACAATGTGTTGTCTCGGACTTTTAAAGCTGTCGAGAAGATGATACGACCTTGAAGAGAGAAGAGAGAAGATCGAGTGGGCGAGAAAAGAGAGAACTTTTTTTCGCTCTTTCTGTATTCTCTGTTCTTGGTGTCTGGGAATCAGATGCCACGCATGCAGTGATCGATCAGAAATGGCAATCTCGTCTCTCTACACGAAACTACATATATATCATGCATCTGGCATCAGATACCACGCGATTTACTGGAGATAGAATTAAATATGGCCTCTCACACCGAGTGGAGCCGTGGATCAATTAATGATGAAGTTGTTGAGATGTAAAGTGTGAACTGACTTGACTTGGCATGGAAAAAAAGTCTCATTGGATATATGTTTTTTCGAAATCATTGGATAGCTCAACTGTACTTTTCCCCCCTTTCAAGATGCTCCTCGAGCCTAACAGAAGTTATGGTGCTAAATTTAGATGAGAAATCTCAAAAAGGTCCCATTCGAGCTTGATTTGAACAAGCTCCTATTAAAATCTTCTCAACTTGATATGAGGCAGACCTTAAAATACTTGGTGTTCCATATATTAAAAAAAAAATATATATATATATATATAAATAGCCTCTCAAACTACTCCCTCAAATTGATTTGTTTGTTGGAAAACATCTCAATATTTCAATGATATTAATTAACTTCCACCATTTAATATTATTGTTAGGCATCTTAAAATTTTGACCACTTTTATTTTTTAAAGGCACTACTTGAGAGAGTAATTAAAGGGCTTTTTGGAAAGGGCAATGTGGGAGGTTGCCACTTAAAGGAAATGAAAAATATTTTAAATTAAGTTAGATAAAGATGGCCTTAGAAAATGAAGTTTGGTTCCAGTCTGTTAACTCTTTGGAGAATGTATGTTAAGTCATCTCTAGGTTTTGTATCATAATATACTTTCATCTCTAGGTAATTAATTCATTGAATTTGTCTTAAATTAAAAAATATTCCAACTTTACTCGTCTCAGAGAGAGAGAGAGAGAGAGAGAGATAACATTCAAAGAGGCATATATAGAAACATTAAATTAGAATTAAATTCTCTTTTTAATAATTTACTCTGAGTAAAATTTGAAAAAAATATTAATTAATAACTCTATATGTGTCTTATATTAAGAATGAATAATTTTTTTAAAATACGTCCTGAATAAAAGCTGGAAGGAGAATTTCACAACAAAAAAAATTGAAATAGATATGAGAGAAGTTTTCTTCATCTCTCCCTCTGGTTACGAGTCATGGAAACATATCAAATAAATAAAGTAATTTTTTATACCATAAAATCCCTTGGGTATTTATTATAAGAATAATTGTTAGATAATTTTTTTATTTTTTATACATAAAATTATAAAATTTAAGAAACATTTATCATATTTTTTAAAATTACCTCGTTTAAATTTAAAGTTTATCTTTACAAAGTAAACTTGTTTCATTAATTATAAAGGTGTTGTAGTTCAAATTTTTAATTTCAAATATAATTAATATATTTAATTAATTTTTTTAAAAACAATGTGAGTTGATAATTTTTTATATTTAAAAACGGACGGCGGGTGTTTAAGCAATCATACATAAAACGTTTTATTCAATGGGACCGCATATGTCGGTGTGAAAGGACAAATTTTGTGCTCGTTTGTTTAAGATTAAAAAATAAATAATTTTTAAATAATTTAAACATTTTTAAAAAAGCTGGCATTATTTTATATTTAATTATAATAATAATAAATAATTATTAATTAATTATTTTTAAATTTTATGATATCTTTTTTATTTTTATTTTATAAAAATAATTTATTATTATATTATTTTAAAATTTTATGATATATTCTTATATCATGTCTCTATAAAACACTCTCTTTCATTTATCATATTAGATTATTTTTAAAAATTACTCAAAATAATTTTTTAAAATAATTAAAAATATATTTTTTGAATTCTAATTATTTTTAAAAGTTTAAATAAACATAATAAAAATTTATGAAATAATTTTTTAAGAAAAATAAGTAATTTGTTTTTAAAATATTCTTTTCGTTTAAAAATATAAAATATTTTTAATTAAATTTTATATTTTAATAAAATAATTAATTATTTTTAAATTAATTATATCTTTTTATAGTTATCCTTATTAAATATTTTATAATAAATATAAAGTAACTATTAATAAAAATATTTTTAAAAAATAATTATATTTTAAAAAATTAAAAATATTTTATATTTTTTAATATATAATTTTTAAAAAAATATTTTATATTTTTAAATAAAGAGAGTACGATAAAATAAACGAGGCTTTAGAATCAAGGAGAAAGAAAAAAGTAGAAAGATTTGTATTGTTTTTCATGATAGAAAGAGACAAGATTTTGAGGCCTATGACTGTAAGGGAGTTAAATTTTTTGAAAAACGTAGCAAGTCGGCGGACACACATTGATTGCCAGTTAATTTGTGAAACCACGTGGTACATGGGTGTCGGTCACCCAGAGTTGTGGGGACACTAGCCTCTGACCCAACTCTCTCTACATTATTGGAGGACTCTGGGTTCATACTATAAATCAATGTTGTTAAATTCATGATTTTGAATAAATTTATAATTAAAAAATAAATTTAAATCATAAATTTATATTATAAATTATAAGAGTTTTTTTATTAATATATGGCTATTATAACTATAAAATTAAATAATTAAAATATAATATATAATTATAATTTGATTTAAATATATTGTAAATATAAATTATTGAAATTAAAATGTATTTAAAGTAATAGATTATCATATTTAATATAAAATTTTAAATTAGGGAAACTCATTTATGGTATTTTTGTTTTTTCATTAATATTTTTTTTGATTTTTTTTTTGAACTAGCTCATATCGCTTTTATAAACCAAATTCTACATAGTATATACTTAGTTGATTCAATTCAATAAAAAATTGACAAGTTTAATCAAGTTTGCGTTAATTAAAATTTATAAACAAGTTGATATGATTTTATAAGATAAAAACGTAAATATAGTAAACTCGGAGAGTCAACTTACAAGTTTAACTGAGTTTTATCTAATCAAGATTTATGAATGAATTAATATAATTTTATTATCTAAAAACATAAAAATAATAAACTTATAAAGTTAATTCAAGTTTGATAACAAGCTTGTAGATTATTTGAGCACTTTTTGGTTATTTTCTCTCTAAATATAAGTTTTAATAAACATATTTTAGATATGATCAAAGTATGTATATTCCTTTCTTTTCCCCCCACTAGGACCTATATTCCTTTAAAGAATGCATGTGGTTAGCTGCTAGTTTACTTTCCAGGGCTATTTAACTTGTACCTATTTTAATTAGTTTGGTATTATCCTGATCATATCATGATAGATTTAAAGTCGACCCAAAATTAATTGGGATCGAATTTTATGAGATGAGATAGGAAAAGAGTTTGGGACGGGACAAGACACAAAATTACTATCAAAACGTCCCGTCGCGAATATTATACACACACACACTATTTTTATTTTAAAAATATATATTAAATATATTAATATAGTTTATACTTATATTAATTATATCAATTGTAATTTTAATACGTGCAATTCTTATTTAAAATTAAAATTTTTTATATTGATAATTCTAATAATATAGATTAAATATGGTGATATCTTTCTTTAAAATATATTAATTTTATTGATAATAGAAGAACAATGATTTGATGTTATGCTTAACTTGTATGTTGTTGCTACTCTTATAGCATAAAGATCACTTCCAATTGCTATTATAATGTATAGTTGTGATTAATATAATTTAATAATTGACTTTAAATTATTGTGATTTATGTACTTGTGTTGTTTTGATTTTAAACTTAAGAAATTATATGGTTTAAAATTTTAATGAATGTTAATATTCAAATTTTTCTCCCACATGGTCTGATTTATTGGGACAGTGAGAATTTTCGATCTTATCCCTGTTCCATCCCAATTGCTAATGGGACGGGACGGAAGACAGAATAAAAATTTAATCTTAATTTTTTTTTAAGATGGGATATTAGATAAAAGTATCTCAATTTTATCTTGTCTCAATTTTATCTTGTCCTGAAAATCAGGTGTCTCAATCTTGCTTTCGATTAATACTGAATTTGCCTTGCTATAATAGCATCATTCAGTTTTATTCATGACTACAGAGCCCCCTTGCAGGAAGATACAAGTCGAAACCTTCATCCGCCAATTTTAATTTTAACAGTTTTTTTATTTGTGTTTTTAAATTGAGAACAATTAAAGGGAGGAAAGGAAAGTCAACTCAACTCATATTTTTCTTTATTTCAGAATTCCTTAATAGAAAAAGATGATTTAAACTACATATATTAGTCGCATCCTCTCAATTTATGAGACACAAGGTCACATATATAAATAAAATTTATTGAATATATCTTATAATTTAATTTTTTAAAATAAGAATATAAAATTTTAAAAATACTCTTAATTTAATATTTCATTTATAAAAAACATTAAAAAGAATGAATATAATATGAAGAGTAATAATAAAAAAAATATTATTAATAAAACTTTACTTATGTCTAAGTATTTTATATTTTGAGATACCAAATCTTCTTCAAAAGTGTATGATAAATTAGGATGGAGGGAGTATATTATACTCCCCCAAAATCATCATACTGCTTGTCTATTTCAAACGTATTTGCGTGTATGTGCGTGTATTTTCCTAGTGAATCATAATCAAAAACAGAAAAGCCAAGTGTCTCAAATATAGAAGTCTGCAAGTTAGGAGTAACATTTGGACTAAGGACTGGGGAAGATTTATTTTTGTTGACCTCCAAGCCAGACCACCTACTGAAAGTAATCAAGATACCATTGACAGCTTGAATTCCAGAAGTGGAGTACTCAAAAAACAGTGTTGAATCATCAGCATAAAGGAAGTGACTTACAAGATAAGAATCATTGCAGACTTTGATCCCTCTACGTAAACCATATTCTTCTTTGTGGAGAATTAAACTAGAGAGGATGTTGGCTGCAATAATGTCCAAAAAGGAGGATAGAGGATCCTCTTATCTAATGCCATTAGAGGGGAACCTTGGTGAGGTGGCTCTTCCACTGAAGGGGAATATTGTTTAATCAAAATGCTTGAAAATAAAGCTGTATATATATATATATATATATATTATTTTGCACCATACATCTTAAATTTTTAGGTGATTCAATGGTTTTTTCTATATTTAAAAACCAATAAATCATGAGTTCAAACTCCTTTAACCATTTTCCAAAATTGACTGTCGTTGATTATGTTGCTGACAACAGAGCTATGGCGCCAATGGCTAGTGGTGATTTTTTTTTTAAAAAAAAAATAAACTAGGACATTTAAGTAATC